GAAAGTGAGTATATAGGGATGTGTAGCAGTCAGTTCTTCCAACGGTGGGGGGGTTCCAATCACAGACAGACACACATGGTCTAGTGGTTGGGTGTTGGTGAAGGAGGGCTTCTCACCATCTGCGACGAGCGGGGCAGGGTGTGAGGTACGACCGGTCTTCCCGATGGGCCCTGGCATGACGTTCCGGAGCAGGTATTTGGAGGCAAGAATCGGGGAGGCGACAACCCGAGGATGCCCCGATATCGCCTCCGGTTTCTGATTGACCTCCCCTGAGGTGGCCTACCTGGGTATCTCAGGCAAATGAAGTCGGCACGTGAGTCGTGGTGGTGGGATCCCCCTGAGGATCCACCCCCCACCCCCCAATTTTTTTGTGGTTATTTCTTTCTCTTTTCTAGAGACTTGACTTTTTTTTTTCTTCATTAAATTTTTTTTCTCCCATTGTCTGTTGTTACGTGCGGTGTGCTGCTCATCATCATGTATGCATGGTGCTTGCTGTCTGTACCTGCCTGTCATGATGCATATGTATGTCTCTGCTAGGGGTCAATCAGATGTTGTTCCGCGAAGAGCCTCTCTATCTAACTAAGTACTCACTCACTCTCCTTTGTTCCCAAGAGTTTCTGAATATGCCCTATCGGTTTCCACAGACAGGTGTGTGTGTATGTATCATTGGGTACATCCAGTGATGTTACAGGCATGTAACTATCTAGCAGTACCTGTTTATTGTCTGTCTATTTTGACCTATCTCCACTTGCACGTATCTCTCTCTCTGTAATACTCGCGATGTTTTTTTTATTGCTCTTAGATGGAGTTGATAAAGGAAGGAAGGGCCTTACTAGTTAAAACATCTATCTACACTGGTTGTATGAAGAAGCATCGTGAATACAGAGTCAAGCAATTAAAGCGAATTTGATACTTCTTAATAAATCACATTGGTTTATTTATTCTCTCCATTCTCGCGACCCGGAATCTAACTAAGTAAGATACAGTACAGTACAGTAGTACACCAGGTCCTCAGTAATATCAGAGACACATAACACATCACCAAGCCCTATCTGGATTTAATCACCATCCACCACCACGTCCTCGGCGATCCCAACCCCCTCTGTGTCCCTGGCCACGATAGTCTCCCCTCCCACCTCTGCCATATCGCTGGAAGCCGCCACCTTGCTGATATGGAGGCTGCTCTTGCGGTGGAGGCGGAGGTGGTGGATATGTAGGCCATCCACCCATAATAGCTGGATTCTGTGGCCAGCTTGGTGCCATATTCGGCGGTGGTATGCCGCCAATCGGTGGCATCGGAGGTGGCGGCGGCCATTGACCTTGGTAGTTTTGCGGCGGAGGGAGAGGAGGTGGTATCATGTATTGACCGGGGTCCGAGGGTAGCGGAGGGAATGAATGAGGAAAAGGGGGCGCGGGTTGTGGATATTGGGGGTTCTGGTGTGGTAGCTGGTTCGGGATTGGGAAATTCGCCTGCTGCTTTCCATTTGAACCTCCATAGGGAGGATCATATGATCGCTGGGGCGTGGGACTTCGCCTTGGTGATCGTGTGTGTGACCGCCTATACTGTGAACCTCTTGAGTGAGAACGTGATCTTGAGCTGCTGTAAGACCTCCGTTGCCGATGCCCTGGGCTATAGCTACTTCGGCTTCGGCTTCGGCTTTGACTTCGAGTCCTACTCCTACTCGGGGTCCGGGAGTTCGACACACGTTGTCGTTTGTATGCAGGCCGTGACAAACTACGGGACGAGCTTCGTGTGTGCGACCGCGACATGCTACGCCCGCGGCGATCATCTTCGGAATTGCTAGCCTTCTTGCGACGCTGCTTCATTTTCTCACAGAAGGCGCGAGACCAACCGTAATAGCTTTCCCCATCAATGACATCTCCGGTGATTTCATCACGTACAATTCGTTGACCCAACTGATCGATGTCTTCACCAGCCCGACTAGGATCGGTTCGATCTTTGTTGTAGATGCGATCTACATCAGCTAGTAGATCCTGGACGGCATCAATCAGGGACTGGTCTGCGGGACCTGCGGTAAGCTGCAAAGGCTTGATCATGTCCGGATTCATAGGTCTCGTAGAGTTGGGTTCGATGGCAGGTAGCCAATTGGCGGCAGGCAAGTCGTACCATGGTACGGTGACATCACCATGGAAGGCTGGCATGATAAACGGTGCATCCTTGGACGATTTAGTACCCGTGGCGGAGGTACCACCGATGGGCGCATCGGCTTTGGAAATGGACTCGGGAGCTTCCTTCACCGCATTTCGAAGCTTTTGGATAATCGTCTTCGAAAAATATCCCTTCTCATCCCATAGCTCTATAAGATCTGATACTTTCTTGGTATGTTTTGGGGAATTCCGGAAAGCAGCAGCGACTCGGACTAGATCTGGGAGAGCGGGTTCTAGCTTTTCTGCGAAATGGACATTCCGATCCCTAACATGAGTATGATAGAGCACATCGTTTAATATGTAGAGGATGTGAAGGCGTTTCCGTTTCGAAGAAGGCTCGCGGACTCTTCTACTGGCGGCGATGTCCTGGGAGAAGGACTTGGCTAAGGCTGTTAAGTACTTAACCAAGGCGGCGATCCTTGTAGGGGACTGGACCAAGTTCTTTACTATCCACTGCTTGCATTTCTATTTGACGACCGTTTAGCCGTCGTACAAATACACCAAGTTTTCATAGGATTGTGTTGCTCAAACCTGAACATTGGGCCGGGAGCATCGCGAGATGGTCGCGTCGAGAAGCTGTAGGAACTCGTCGATCTCGGCGCGCGAACAAGATGTCGGATCGGCTCGAAAAAGAACGGCCGAAAAGGCGACCTTTGCTATATCTAATTGAGGCGATGCCATTGTTATAAGATGAGAAGAATTGTCAAGGAATTCGAGGACATAGTCTAACTCTTGAGTTGGGAGGTATGAAATGGTAGTAGTAGTACTAAGTATTATGGAATTCAGCAGAGACGCAAGGCAGCTAGCTTGATTGGATTCGTACGACACGGCCTGCTGCATCAAGGCCCACTTTCTTAGCGCAGGTTTGATTTCAGCCCATGTTCTAATGTGGTACATGCAGCGAAGCAAACATCGGTATCGGGCTAGATTTATCCGTACCCTTATGAAATACATGTACTGTAGTACTTGGGGGCACTTGCGCCGATGATACTGACGAGAAGCATTTGATGTCTGCGCCAACCTAACCTCTCAATTTTCAACATAAAAACCATCATCACCATACGCAATTCATTTGTTTCAGTTCCAAGAACAACTTCCAGCCGAGTGCAAGGAGACATTGGCGACAACATTGGCGACAATACTTCGCATATCTCATACGGAGTACGGCACATAACATCGAACTCCCATGATCCATAAACTGAGAATCGACCTGATCATAAGAATAGATATCTTCAACACCGCAGCAATTCGGATTTCAGAGTAGTGTGATTAATATCCCTGTCTTTCTGTTCATAGCAATGTACACATCGAAGTTTCATAATATTCTCATCGTAAAATATAGACATAGCCCCTCAATCCACCAACCACGACTAGGAAAATCGATCGCCTTTCGGACTTCGATACGGAACGCTACTCTCGTATTTGCTCTTCTCTATTACTTGTTGTCCTTCCGTAGCCGGGGCGTGCCTCGTCGGTGCCGGGTCGCTGCTGGCTTCTTGGCTTGGCGACCCGGCCGTATCAGTCCGAGCCGGCGTGCCATTGCCGGTGGTAGAGCCACCCATCGTTGACGCGGATAGGGGTTTGCTAGGGACGTTGCTGGAGTACTCGAGAGAGTCGATCATCTGCTTCTTTCGGCGGGTCTCCTCGAGGCGCGCGGCCCTATCGGCGTTGATGCTCTTCTTCGCAAAGTAGTACGCTCCTGCGCCGGCTACAAATCGCTCGTGTAAGTGGACAGCATGCGACAACGAAAGCTAGAATAACCACATACCAAGGCAGAGGGAACCCCAACCAGCCCTAACAATTTCAATTGGCAATCAGTAATTGGATTTAATAGACGGCGCATTGCATTGTTGCGCTTTTGCGATTCGTTTACCTACCAGAAAGATTTGACCTGGTATAAGATATTAGCCACTTGCGTCACTTGTTAGCCTCTTAGCTCTCTCGCAAGATACTCACTGTGTTCATTGTGAAGGTTGTATATGGAATACTTGAGTTTGGGTTCTATGTGTCACGTAGCGAAGTTGGAGATGGGATCTAGAAAGGAATAAGTTCGGGAATAGGTAGGTAATTATGTGAGTTGACGTAGGAAAGCTTGAAGGCAAAAGATTGCAGTGGTGAATATAAAGTGGTACGTTATTTCATCAGATCAGAATTGGTAAAAAGATGCAACCCTGCAAGCTCTCCCGTCGGTTTAGCGCACCTCGGCGGATTCCCCTGTCATTTTAGCCTTTATTTTAGACGAGGTTATTTCTGTAACTAGCGCTGAAAGCCAGTGCTGATAGGTACCTACAAAACTGGGGTCTGTTAGGGACCCGGTACCGGCAGACCGGAGACGGCTTCATTGGAGCCCATGGTTTCGAATCATTTACAGAATTTTTGCTCGTGTCCAATCTTTCTTAACGGAATATCCATGGTGGCTGGGTGGCTGGTCCTATCAATCAATGCAGAATTTAGATGCTGGTCTTTCGTTTACTTTAATCGGTATTAAATTTGATATGGCATTAGTTGTGTAGGTAGGTAGGTAGTTAAGAAACGACTTGGGCAAGAAAGTGTCACTCCTTTAACAGTCTAATATTGGTTTGTAAAGGTGATCAGTATTGAACCAGTCACTACCTAGTTAAATTAAGGTGTATATACTTCATATGCTTTCTTTCTGTATCAAAGTTCCGCCAGCTACAAAATAGTGTTTGTTAGCTTCAAGTAGGCAGCCCTAGGAATGAGACATATCAACACGAACAAGTTAAAAATATAATAACAGCAAGATAGGTACGTCATATTTTACCTCGGGGGTAAAAATATTTAAGTCAATAAGTGTGTGAAACAAAAATAGCTGACAAGAAGGGGATTCGAACCCCTGCGGATTGCTCCAATGGGAAGCATGTCCTCAGTTTTCCTGAGGCCAAGGAATATTGAAATGCTTGAATCCATCGCCTTAGACCACTCGGCCATCTTGCCTAGCTTTCAATTCATGTTTTAACATAGCGGTTATCGTAGTGATTATAGACTGTGGATTGTAGGTGTAGTGCTGGTGCTGGTGCTGGTGCGCTTGTTGTGTTGGGAAAAGAAGAAAAAAATAGTTAGCTCGTTACCGAATGGTGGGGCTACTGTCAGGGGACACCTAGGTACTTTCTTAAGCCTAACCTGGCATGTGGGAAACCTAGAACCCCACCTACACACACTAGACCGTTCGCTAACTCCCTCATGCAGCACTGCGTAACGACCTACGTAGACACCATCAGCTCCCAATCAAACACCTAATAAACTCTACAATTCCATCCATCTCACCAACCACTTCTATGTTACCTACCGCCAATCCACTGCCTACCATTCTCTTAGGTGACATTGTTACTACAAATCTAGGAAACGTTCGTTGAGGCTACGGTAGATTCAGCAGACAGACAAGGAACCAGAACAGAACATGATCACCATTAGTGGCCGAGGCATTCCTATTGCTTGATGCTATTGCTCGATAATTTATCTGGAGCAACATTCGATCTGTATATCTGGAAATAGAGTCTACACTGCCACGTGCCTATTTTCCTCATTCCCTCGGAATTTAGTCGATTACCAACGAAGATACGAGCATCGCATCCTAGAACACTTATCATCGAACACGTTCGAATTGACGTATTGGATGACCCTGAAGGACAGGTCTGCGGTTAGTGATGCCGTGGGAGTGCGAGGGCCCGGCATCTTGTAGGATTAGAGTGACTCTCCCTAGCCATCATGGAGTCTAACGGACAAAATGGACCTGACGACTCGTCCCTTGTAAGATACATGTTCTCTATCCAAGCCATATGTTACGTTGTTAGGCTACCATATAACGTTACTGACTAGGGCTACAGCGACCTGTCTCGTCCCTGAGATCTCATTTTGAGAGCATGGGAAAAGCAAAGGAGGAGCCAGCAGCAACTCATTCACAACCACCACCCACGAGGAACACATCGCCTTCCCCGAAGCCTCCCGCGATACCAGACACGAGACCAAATCGAAGCGTGAATGTGCCCCCGGACAGCGTACGGCCGAAGCCGCAGGATAATTCAATTATCACGGGTCATCATTCTGTCCAGGGCGCAAACCCTCCACCCATAAGTCCTAAGCCCGCCAAACCACCAGCTGTTTTGATCGAGCCGCCGCAGTCACCACCAAAGGCGAGGCCACTGTCTACCCTGCAGAGTGACTATAATGCTCATCTTGTTCCCGATCCTTCCAAATCCCCTAATACTCCGGTTTCCGCCTCGCCTCGTTCCTTCAAGATCCCTAGTCGACCGCATACCCCAATTCTCGAGCCCGGCCGTTCTCCCAGGCTCGGTGCCTCCGCCCAACCACCATCCCCGCCGCCCCCGCGAAGGTCTGCTGAGCTAAGGAGAGATCGCGAAACCAGGACGGCACCGCCTGTCCCGCCGCCCATAAATCGTGCTGAAAAGCCGGCCAATCGAATTTCTAGACTAATGGAAAACGCACCTAAATTAGAGTCGACTCCTCAAATTGCAGAGCAACGTTCGCCATTTAATAGTCCTCCTACCAGTGGAAGTGATGCCGAGCACGATGAGCCTCCTGTGCTTCCTTCCAGGCCAGCGCGAGCACCCCAACCGAAAGCCGTACCGAAGATCAACACCGTACCGAGAAGCTTCGACACACCTCCTGTTCACCATACAGTTGCAAATATACGAGGAGCCCACGAGGCCAACGGGAATATCCGAAGTCCCATTTCGCCTCAATTTGCCGATGAGCGGCCTGCTCTCCCAGCTCGGCCCCTGACGATTGCAGAGCCGGCATCCGTACGAATACCGGCTAATACGGCGATGAAACCACCGCCTCGACCCCCAAGGCCCACCGTTGCTACTTCTAACATGCCTGTAGAAAGTCCGGCGTCTTCCCAGCCTAAACGCGTTGTTTCAACCCCGACCACTCAACTTGCGCCTCCCCCACCACGTACCCATGGGAGATCCATGACAGTAGACAGAAATTCTGACAAGATTCCGGCCGAGTTCCACGGGCCTACCAGGAGGCAAGAAGCAAATGATACGGACAACCGCCCATACGACTCTGTAGGATCAGCTTCCACTACTCAGGTAGAGGTGGTAGCCCAGTATCCCGACTCTACTAGGATAAACCGCCGGCCGCCTTTCATAAAACAAGGCGCTCATGATATCTATACCAAATACGATACTAGGGTATTTGATGTCTGTGGCCAGTATGTTTGTACTACCGGTCATCTCACCCGGGTTTGGAGCAGCCTTGATGGCGAACTTATTATGAGTCTTGCTCACGGAGAGGGGGTCAAAGCCACCGCAGTGGCATTTAAGCCAACTTTAGACGTTCAAGACGAAGGCACTCGACTCTGGATCGGAAACAATGTTGGTGAGATCATAGAGGCAGATGTTATATCGCAGAACATAATCGACACTAAGACGAATGCCCATGGCCGGTATGAGATAGCCAAGATTTATAGGCACTATAACGAGATGTGGACTCTCGATGAAGGTGGCACCTTACATGTTTGGGGACCGGATAGCGAAGGTGTTCCACGCCTTAGTCTAAACCCACACCAGACTTATAGACTACCTAAAGGACATACGTTTTCGATGATCATCGGAGATGAACTGTGGCACGCAGCGGGCAAAGAAATTCGCATATTCACACCTACGACCGGAGGGCATAATCAACTACAGGTTTTAATGAGACCCCTTGTCTCCGAAGGGGCGGGAGAGGTTACATCCGGAACTCTTATCAAGTCTCAACCAGGCAAGGTCTTCTTCGGCCACAGCGACGGCAAGGTCAGCATCTACTCCCAGAAGGATTTCTCGTGTTTGAGCGTGCTCAATGTTAGTTCTTACAAGATCAATTCTTTGGCTGGTGTGGGTAATGACATATGGGCGGCCTTCAATACTGGGCGGATTTGTGTATACGACATTGCCGAGTCACCTTGGGTCATTAAAAAAGACTGGCAAGCACATAATAACCCGGCCATCAAACTCATTGCTGATCCGGCAAGTTTCTATAAACTTGATCGGTCCCAAGTTCTTTCCCTCGGAGCAGACAACATGGTGAAATCTTGGGATGGCTTACTACAAGACGACTTTCTGGAAAACGAGATGAAGTCCCTCGATACACAATACTGCAAATTCGAAGACATCAAGCTCTTGGCTATGACGTGGAACGCCGGGGCGTCAACCCCCAACAGCCTACGATATTCCGACTCCGATGCTGCATTTATGCAAAATCTACTGCAGTCGAGTGATTCTCCGGATATTCTTATCTTTGGATTCCAAGAATTGGTCGACCTAGAAGACAAAACGGCGACTGCCAAGCGTTTTTTCAAACCAAAGAAGAAGGATGCGTCAGACCAAGAAAAGATGAGCCATCAATACCGGGATTGGAGGGACTTTCTCGTTAGGTGCCTCGATGATTACATGCCTGCCGAGCACCTCTATCATCTACTTCACACTGCGACTCTGGTGGGCCTCTTTACGTGCATATTCGTAAAATCTCATCTCCGTGATCGTATACGAAATATTAACGCCTCCGAGATAAAACGAGGGATGGGAGGTCTGCATGGCAACAAAGGTGCTATTCTTGTACGGTTTATGGTAGATGATAGTTCGCTCTGCTTCATCAACTGCCATCTGGCAGCGGGACAATCGTCAGCGAATCAACGACATAACGACATTGCCGCGATTATGGAGAGCTCACTTTTACCTGTGGAGCGTGACCCTAGCGTTCGTATCGACAGCTACATAGGAGGTGGTGATGGTACCATGGTTCTTGATCACGAACTTTGCCTGCTCAATGGTGATCTCAACTACCGTATCGATACCATGTCGCGAGACACGGTGGTAATCGCTGTGAAGCAAAATAACCTAACCAAGCTCCTTGAACGGGATCAGCTCCTTGTAGCTCGTCGGAGGAATCCGGCGTTCAAACTACGAGCCTTCGACGAAATGCCGATCGAGTTCGCACCCACGTACAAATACGATGTGGGGACAGATAATTACGACACAAGTGAGAAGAAGCGCTCCCCAGCCTGGTGCGATCGCCTCCTTCACCGAGGTTTTGGCAGGATACAGCAACTTGAATATAGGCGCCACGAGGTCCGAGTGTCAGACCACCGACCGGTGAGCGGCCAGTTCAGGTTTACTGTTAAGTCTATCTCGCCTAAGAAGCGGACACTGGCTTGGGCCGATTGTCAGCAACGCTTCGAAAACCTCAAGGTGAAGGAGGCAAATGCGGAGATGTGAGTACACCCCCTATCTACTTCTAAAATGGCCACTAACCGTAGCTAGGGTTCATTATCTCACGACGGTTATCGGGTATGATTTAGAAACGAGCAAGAGGCTAATCCACGAAAGAGCGGCGCGAAAAGATCACCGGAGTTTAAGTCAGCAATAGAAGAGATTACTGTGTAGAAAGGCGACTTGGTCTGCATCAGGAACCGGCAATGCGTAGAAAACGAAATGTCGACGTCGACCATACGAGTAGGAATGCTGCCAAGGAGAGCAAGCGAGACCAATAAAAAGAAATAGACAGCCAAGGCGACGGAGATTTATTATGTGATACGACCAGAAAATGGCAAATTCACACAAAAGCAGACGAGCATCAAATGAGTTTCTAACGCCTGGGTACATGGTAGATGGTTAGGTTTACGATAATGGATGGGTGCTGTCGAAGTTCGAGAAGCGACAAAGCAGCATTGATCATAGAGAATCAATACATAATGAAGCCGGAAAATAATGACGAACTACACGATTCTTTTACTGCCCGAATAGTCTTCGGTGAGCATTCTCGAGGAATGCCGTGGTCTGCCGGTCTAAAGGTGTGACGCGCTTCCGTCATCGGACCTCGTTCTGATTGGTCCATCGTGATATTGTCTCAGAGTTGCTTGTACATATCGCCGTACCTGGGTAGATATCTAACCGCCGATATTAATCATCTCGTATACATATATCTCACCC